TGGTTGAGAATTTAGCCATTTGTCTTTTTTTTATTTAATTAAATGGCAATATAAAAGGCTGTAAAAACTTCAGATGAAATGTTTTTTTTTTAAACATACATTCTTTCTTCAGATAAAAGTTCAATAAAAAGGAAAGAATATGAAATGCCAGCATGTAGATGTGCAAACCCACATGAGAGGATGCAGAACATAGACGATGAGTTGATTCATTTTGAAAGGATGGTTCACACTAACATGAAAATTCTACAGAGCCTCTAAAGCAGGGATGTCCAGTCCTGCTGATTTTGGCTTCAACCTCAATTAAACACAGCTGAACTAAAGTAATCAATGTCTTAAGGATTACTAGAATCTTCCAGGTAGGTAAAAATTGGAAATAAAATCTGCAGGATGTCAGCCCTCCAAGACCAGGACTGGACACCCAAGCACTAAAGAAACTTGATGATTAATAAATATCAAGTGGAAGGCAAAAAAAAAACAGTGATTCAGTGATTTAGCTGATGCTTAGACGTGCAGTTTTGAAACTTTTGGAAACCGTATGTCCTCGTTTAGTTTAACTGTATGATAAAGAGCAATTTGGAGATCCCGCTAAACTTCCTCTATGAGTTCCAAGGAAGACAGAGAGGTTTGGATTAAGATGAGCGTGAGTAAACCAGACACAATTTGCACTTATAAGTGAACTGTTCCTTTAACCAACACTAGAGTGCACCGTTTCCTTCAATTACATAAATGCTGTGGGACTATGTGTGGGTGGAGCAGTCATTGTCTTGAGCAGTTGAGGCAAATGTATTAGCAAACTGCAATGATGTCCTGATGATCTGATATACCTGAGAGCAGCACAGTCACTATCTATTCACACACACTATTAACATACAGTATGTACAAAAAAAGTGTTATTCCCAGCTCTGCATCACTTGGGTACGAGAATACAAACTCCTGCTAAAAAAAAATATAATAGTAGCAGCCCACTCTTGTCTGAAAGAGATCATTTAAACGCAAATGACAAAGAAAGATTATTTTTACAATCCTTATGGACCTACTAATGTTCCTTCGAGTCATTCCTTCCTAAAATGTTTAGCGTTTCAAAAAGTATCTTTAAAACGAACATGACAAAACTTGACAACAGGACAATTTTAAAAGAAGTCCTGGTCTTCTGGATCCATGGGTTCTGGCTGAGGGGTGTAGGTGACAGGGGGATACGGGCAGACAGCTGGAGTATATACAGTATATACAGCAGGACTGGGGACGTTATTTAGGGTTGGAGGACTGTTACTATCCAGCTCATCTTCGCTATTGTCCTCTGCTTCTCCTCTGTGCGACTGGGTGTCACTGGAGCTGCTGTTGAAGAGCACGTTTTCGTAATATTCCCCACCAAGCCCGTACTGATTCTCATGATTCTGAAGCTCCTCTTGAGTGACGTGACTGCCACTGCGCAGAAACTCTGCAAACCTGAAAGAAGCAGAAACAACTGGTGAGGAATATCATTCAATAAAATGGGATATATACAGTACATGTGTGCCATGTAAACATGCTTATTTTGATGAATACAAACTGTAATTACTTTTGCGGTGATCTGAGCCTCAACACAGTGTCCCATGCAGGAAAGCCAGACTTGTTACAGTGCTCCTGTAATTCTTTCAGGGAGGCTCTGGTGTGGATCTCTCCCTGCTCTCTGTACTCCTCCACAGTCAGTAGCCTGACCTTGGGTCGTTTCTTCCTCCGGAACAAGCCCAGGAATGAGTAAAAGAGACTGAAGGCATAAAGTCAGAGTTAATACACGCAAATTTTTATGATTACATATTTCACCTGTTCAAAGGTCAATTTCATCATATGATTCACTTTCAGTTTCTTAGACTTAGTCAACATGAACTAAAATTACTGTATTTTCTTAATGCATGTCTTATCGTGTACAATATTGTGTACAGTTCAACTCAAAAATGAAAAAATATGCAATCTACTCCACGGTACTGCAACCCTACAGATTTAAAGTTCATTCTTTTAATTCGGCTAAGAGGTCACACCGATGCCATGACTTATCAGTCTACTACTGATTACATGTCTTCACGAGATGAGGCAGAGTTCATCAAACTTGAATTATGGAACAAAGCAAAAAAATCACATGAGCTTGTGTCTCCTGCATTCGCTTTTGTGTGAATGGAAGTCAATGGAACAAAAAGTAGTGTCACCGGCCCCTTACTTTTTAACCCCTTTCCTCCAACCACCTGGCTTCATTTTGGTAAGTAACCATGATCAGCTTTTGAATGAATTGGGTGGGGAAATATAAAGCCCTACCCTAAACATTTCTCACCTGTTTCACAGTTTGTGGTGCTTTTCTTACCTGCAAATCCACATCAGAAGGCTCCAGGCCAAGGGCAGAATCTTCCAGCACAACAGTAACATGATCAGTATGTAGTAGGCAGGGGGGATAGTGATCCCATAGTACAGCAAAACCATGCTCACAACTTGCATACCCCAGGTCATAAAGTTGAGGGTGTGTTTGTTGGTGATGGGGCCGTGTTTATAGCATACAGCAAAGCTAACTAACCCCGATATGAGCACATAAACTGCAGAGAAAGAGAAAAGAGAAAATGTCAACATAATTTTTAAATGTCAAGTTTGTTATTATTGACCTCCCTGCACATGCATGCATACATACATACATATGTACATAAAGCACCGTACCACTTTATGTAGCAAGGTAACAATAAAAAAGCATGCCTAATTTGTATCAAACAGAAGCAGCCTGCCTGAGCTTGCCTGTCATTCATAAACAGCCCATAAAGCAATAGCAATAATACGTACACAGAACACTCAGGGTAGATAGATCTATTCGCACTGAAACAACTAAACGTCATGTTGAATATTCATTTTTGGGTGAACTATTCCTTAAAGGCAAGCTTTCACTTGCTAAAATGTGCATTGGGTGACTATGGGCCATCAATATTAAATAGTGGATGTCATGTGGTGTATTTGTCGAGTTTACATTCACTGAATGAATGCAACAGAGCAGAGCAATGGATTGCTAAATACGTTAGTATACAATCAAAAGAACAATGGTGAAATATAAATGTAACAATAATGGTTATATTAAGTTACTTGGTCATTGTTTTCTCACTATAAAGTGATTCCTAACCTTTCTTGTGTTTTGATTTCTTATTATAAATGTTGAAAACAGTTATGCTGTTTAATATTTTTGTGAAAACGGTGATGTAATATATATATATATATACAGTGGGTACGGAAAGTATTCAGACCCCCTTAAATTTTTCACTCTTTGTTATATTGCAGCCATTTGCTAAAATCATTTTTAAAAATCAATTTTTTCAAAAAAAAATTTTCCTCATTAATGTACACACAGCACCCCATATTGACAGTATATATATATATATATATATATATATATATATATATTGATTTTCAGGATGTTCTGATTAATAGACAGTTGAAAAGAACAGCTTTTTAGTCGAATATGTAGTCGAATATTTTTGTTTTTCTTTCAATTTTTATTTTGCTTTACCGTCACGTCATAAAATATTTAAATCTACTTTTTGTTTTGTTTTGCTTTTGAAACAAATGGCTCTTAAAAAATATCCGGGCCATCTTTTCTAGATAGTGATAGTAGATGGGGGCCGGTCTGTCAAAAAATCATGATAACTGTTGTCTATGTGATTTGTACACTATATTTCAAGTCTTCCTAAGCCATATGAAACCTTTTTGTGAAATTATAAAAAAAATTAAAAAATCTTCCCCTCTAGCTAAAATCACTTTCATTGAATCATTATATGGAAAAGAACATCTAGCTCGTTTAGCTCTTTAAATCAAAAATCACCTTTTGACAGTAAGTCACAAAATGCTTTTTTGAGTGAACTATTCCTTTAATGTCACAGTAGATTTGAGAAAACAGAAGAAAAAACAAAGAAGAAATAAAAGGGCCAAAAAAAAACCCAGACATTCACTGGGGCTGTAATCCTCCCAGAGCCTTTTTGTTTTAGGCATAGAAATCAATGTTCCAGCAGCACTGCAGATTCTTTCCCTTAATCTTAATATGCCTGTGGTTCTCGCATTCAAACACCGATGCATTTACATACTGCGAGTGCTTGAAGAGGGAAATTGATTTGGCAGAGAATAGTCTATTGAGCAGTCAAGAGGCAGTCATTTCAGCATTCAAAATACTTGGCCCTCATATTATAACACTAACGGAGCCAAGATATACGATACAAAAGGTGAATCTCAATCTGCTCTAGACTGTTACTATGCAATGCTGGCATGTTCTAATGCGAGCGCTTCAGTTGATGAAACATGCAGCGAGAGTGTAGAAGGATAATCTTTCTAAATGACATGTACGATAATTATTCTATTGTATAAAGAGCACGTCAAGCAAATTAACAGACAACACGTGGCATTCGACTGAAACGCAAAACTGTACAAAAGGTACATTTGAAAGACCATTTATTAACATTAGCGAAGGCTTATTGTCTGATGTAATTGGCTGATGAGATGATTGCAAAGGAAAACAGAGCAAGATGGGTTGTAACAGAAAAAGGTTGCCTAGTTACCCAGTAATTCCATCCAGTGCTCAGTCACAATGTCATCCCATTCATTTATCACCCTCTGGATCCCCATGTAGGACAGACCAGAGCCAGCGCCCAACAACACCAGGAACAGCCCTCGCTGGGGGGGGAAAAGCAGAGCCTTAGTGAAAGTGCTTGACCTTCTGACCTACCCCAAAACTATGAGCTGCCAGTCAATCTGTAAATGATTGCACAGCCCTGTTTTTTTTTGTTTTTTTACATGAAACCTTATGATGATGTACATGCCTGAGGATGTTTGTGTTGAGGAGTGAGTCTCCACCTCCCTTTATCTTTAATCTCATCAATGCCAGCATTGACAGGCTTAAACTCATACTACTCATCCAACATGTTTGATCAGTGGGAGGAAACATGTGATACTGTGTATCATGATCATAATAAAGGTTGTGACAGTAGCATTACACACCGTTGGTACGAAGTTTCTGAGAACAAGCGTCAGGAAAACAAATATGCCGACGACTCCCAATGTAATTCCGGTGGTGTAGAAAAACTGTGAGCTCCTGGAAAACATGAAGAGTCGGTTAGAATAATACGTTTTAAGTTTCAACCACAAATTAATTAAGAAACAATTCATGGTGACCATGGCTGTCAAGCTCCAAAAAGGACAAAAAAAGCACCATAAAA